TGAGCCCACAGCCACGGCCATCACCCACCCTCCCTCTGCAGGCCAGCCCCCCTCTTACCATCACATGTACCCGGCTAGACTGGTAAGACCCAGCCTGCCCTCTGCCCACGGCCCACACTGACGGAGAGAACCGCAAAACCACCCTGCGTGACCCAGCGAGGCCCACAACCACCACAGTGGGCCAGCACTGCCATGCCGGGCCACAGTCCGAGTGGCTGGTCGACGCCCCTCAGCCTCCCAGAGGTCCTACCTGACCTCGCTCCCCATGGCCTCGCAGCTCCCGGAGGACGAAGAGCAGGTGCACTGCACCCCGCCTCGTGTGTCCTGCTCGCCTTCCCTCCCGACCCAGGGACGGACGTTGGTGCTCCTGCGTGTACTGAGGCCGTGGGCTGCACACGGAGCCAGCCCTCTCACTGCACGTGCCCACGGCACTGCGGTTCACCCCTCGGCTCCACCTCACACGGCTTCCCCCACCAGCGTCGACAGCCACCATCCCTCCCATGATGGGGAGAGGACCCCAGGGCTGCTTCAGCCCACAAACCCAGCTCACTGTTTCCTGGCCAGCAGAACTCCTGTACAAGCTGTCTACACCTGTGGCGCCCAGTGCCCCCCTCCCTCCCTCAGTCCCGTTCCACTTCCTCCGTACCATTCCCTGAACACCCTTGGAAAGGTCTTCCTGCCTAACACCTGGGAAAGTGGGTTGGTTCCCAGTCCCCGTCCGGCCTGGCCCCCGCCAGTATCAGATGAGCTGCTGCACCTTGCTCTAAGGCTCGCCTCCTCTCGGCCCCATTGCCTTAGTCTCTGAGCGTGTGTGCTCACGAGACAGAAAGAGACAGAGAGAGAGGGAGAGGGGCAGAGGCCAGTGTGGTGTGGTCACGCTGTAAGCTTCTCCAACTCCATAGCAGTCTGGATTTGGGGCACACACATGCAGCCAGTGTGTTTCTTAAGCCCCCAGAGCCAGGATTCAAACTGCAGTGACCACGTGGTAGGCGGCCAGGCTACCAGGTTGGCCCGGCTTTCCTACGGCACTGGAGGTTTCTCTGAGGCCTGGTTCCTGTGCGTGTGTCTCCAATTTGTGGACATGACGGGCCCCAAAGCTCAGGTCCTGGGCCCTTCTCTGCTCCGGCTATGCCCATGACCTGAAGGGCTTCCCTGTCTGAACATAAAATGCCATCAACGTATCATCGGCTCAGAAGCCCACCTGCCCCTGTG